CCAAGCCAAGCATCTTTGAAAGTCGAGCCAACTTGTTGCTGCAAACGATGCCAGAGTCGAGATCAGAAGATGTTTTCGACGACCTGGCGCACTTTTTGCTGTTGACGAGTCTATGCGCGGACGTTGCTCAGGTCTCCCATACCTATGCCCAACAAGGTATCTACAAGCGCTTGCAAGACCCGCGGCTTGGTAATGTTGGCGCTGGCGCGGACAAGCGTAGCGACCAAGCAACTTCGGCATGGCTGAAGCACATCAGCGAACTGGATGCCGGCGTGACCACCACCGTCGAGCACATCGACGGCGCCTTGAGCAGATGGCGTCGAGTCTCGACGGTAAGCGAAGCTCAACAGTACCAATCTGGTCCCGGATGTCCCTTTGTCCTGGGTCCTTCGAGCTTCTACTACATTGCCAAGCACCAACTACGACAACTGCAGACGCAGATTGGCATGTCCCACCCTGGCACCCCTGCAAGGTCGCCCATCCATGCGACCTACTCTACCGTCACGTCGGACCCATCCACCACCTTGGCTCCCTCAGCGCGAATGAGGAGCATGTCGATTGGCGGACTAGACGGCAATCTTTCGCTGCCGCACCTTTCCTCTGCGCGAAGAGCGAGCGCGTTCGAGTGGAGCAGAAGCGCTTCCAATCGCAGCGACGACCAATCCTTGCCCCATACTCCCTCATCCATCCAATCCCCCGCGCCGAGCATGGCTCAATTGTACAACCTCGTCAGCCCCGCCGGTTTCTCGCCAAGCCAACACTCCTCCCACACTCCTCTTCCGCTTCACTAACTTTCTCGCTGCGGCCTAGTCTGCTTTCGCCGTTCTGCCTCTCGTATTTCGTGCCTCATAACCCCCCATAGACGGTTTCTGTCGTCACTCGCCATCATCGATACCTGCCTCTGTACTTTTGATACCTGGCCCGTGAGTCGACAGAGATACTGTGCTGCATACCCCGATACTCAAAAATGTTGGTATTATTCGACTTCGCAATGGCTTCAAATTTTTGTTTGATACACATCACCCGTATAGCAATTAGTAGTGCTTGTCCCAGGCTGCAGGAGGGTGGGTAGAAGTGTCATCAAGTCCAAAGATTGTGGCGTCAGCTTATGAGCTCAAGCTCAATGAGAGGCGCTGAGAAGGCGTATTTGCGCCGGTGGGAGGATGAATGCGTGGTTAGGACGACTCGACGGAAGGTGCGCATTGCAAGGAGTTCCAGGCGAAGCTGTTATTCCTGCGAACTGCTCGGTTGAACGAGTCAAAACGCAAAAGTATGGTGTCGAGACCGGCAATGGGGCAAACGCGCGACACCGCATCTACCACTTGTCCTGCACATAATCCTTCCAGCTCTGGAGCCCCGGATGTATGGATCTGCACTCTTCAATATCCGCCTTGAATCCGGGGTCGTTGAAGAAGTTGAACATGACCCTGAGTGGAGGAACGCTCTTGACAAGACCGAATCCCAACAGGCTGCTGGTAGCAGGCAGAGCGCTTCCCTTGACCTCTTTGAATTGATTAGCCATCTCTTTTGGGGATAGGTAGTCGCCTGCCAGACTGAGTGTGCGTCCTTTCCAGCCCGAAGGGTCCTCTATCGCCTTGCTGGCAAAGATGCCGATATCTTTGCACGCGATCATTTGCAGCTTGTCCTTGACGCATCCATTAAGCGCCGCTACGAACAGTTTGCCAGAATATCCATAATCGGCGATATTATCGGCGAAAAAGACGGGTCGAAGAATGGTCAGCGGCAAATCTGGATGGGCGGACTTGATGTAGTCTTCGATCGTGCGTTTGGATTCGAAGTGATCGCAAGGAGTGGGATTGATGCCGCCAAAGTCTACGCTGGAATAGACGAATAGATCCACACTTTGCGCCCGCTTGCTCGCTTCGTCTGCCATCCCCTTGCCTTGCTCCATCTCCATCTGCAATCCTCCTTCCTTGTTGTCCAATCCTTGCTGCACACTGAACACTGCCGAAATCTTTCTCTGTTCCGACGCCTCCTTTTCCAAAAGCTCGTCTGCGCGCTTGAAGATTTCGGCAGGACGGTAGGGCGTCTCTAGCATCTTGACTCCCTTTAAGCCTGACAGCTCTACAGCCTTGGGATTGGATGGAGAAGCATCGCGCGTGCAGGCCAGGATGAGAAACTTCAAGTCTTGCGCAGATGAACCTGAGTGGGATTCG